CCTTAACAGATTTATAAAGTAAAATTTACTAACCACGTGCATACTGCATATCCTGGCCTGTCCACTTTCCTCACAAAGTCTGATAAAAAGTCACCATTTACATCCTTTTCCTCCAGCCATGACCATTTGAACTTGTTCTTTACCTTTCCTTCTATGCTACGGATATCTGCCGACCTGTCTACTTGTTTGCACATTTCATTTGATCTATTATCGCTTCGGTAAACATCTTTGAATAGATAAGGCTCTTCAATTGTCTCGCTCAATAGAAAGGTACACAAAAGAATGACCGCGTTTTCTAAAGCACGTTTTCGAGATAAAATCTCATTCACATGACATGAAGTTTGCATTATAAGCATACAAGGTCTCGTACACGCTAGCAAGCATTGCGAGACTACAAAATGGCGGTGCCCTGTCGCCAATTGTAAACAAACCGGGCGATTGCATAAACGCATAGATTGCATCTATGGCATGCAACACTAAAATCCGATAAATAATTTCAAAAAATGTGTTTCTCCGGAAGAAAACCGGAGGTTTTCAGGATTTTTTAGAAATATCCGCATTTCCAGATATATCCGGAAGACTTTCATTATTATAAATAGCTTTAAACTCCTAACAGTATACATCTGTTTTTACTTTAATTTTATTGTTTTATTGCCCTCTGAACCATGTCTAACTGATACTCCCATCACACAAGTTGAAAATCGCTTGAAAAACATGTAGTTGGTGTTACTTTATTGTGTTACCTTATTGAATTACGTAAGGCACAGGCTACTCTCTGTGGCTACTCTCGGGTTGATTACAACCATACCTCATGAAAATGTATTATTATTCATTTCACTTAATCTAACCTAAAAATTCTACTTTTTATACTTTAGTTACTTTTATAACAACAAATAAAGAATACACATGAAACACAAAAAATATAGTACTTACCAGGGATTTTTTTTTTTTTACTGTTGACTGTCAATGAAACTAAACCCTACTTTTTTTATACTAATGATGCTACTGTACTAAAACAAGTTTTATTTAACTAAATAATGCATCAAACAACATAGAATAATACGTAAAAAAGCAGACAATATCCTATAACTATCATAATTTTTTGGCTTTTTAACAATGCAATGAGAGCCATTAAAAATTCAATTATGCTCATCAATGTGTTTCCCATGGGAATAAAGTTTGAACTGGAAGTAAAATATACAATTCTCTGTACAGAAAACAACATAATATAATACATCATTTGATAGATTAAAACTTTGGCTTTCTATTGGTTATAATTAATATAGTATTAAATGTCAAAGAGAACTATTGGCAAGTGGGTGTGGCAAAAGGGGTCTGATTTTTTATTTTATTTGTCTGCAACTAAATAAGATAGAAGGCTACAAAAAGTATGTTTTGCCTGAGAAATTAAAACATTGTAAGGAGTAATTCATGTTCAATTTCATACTTTTTGGAGGGGTACTAAATAAATTAGAGAAGAGGGAATACCTAGATAGCAAATGTCACAATTCTTATACTAGGGAAAGTTGAGGATTTTTTAAAATATTGTCTTATAAAATTAAAGCTTAAATCCTACATGATATTAAAATTTGGTTTATTGTCTACATTTTTATGCCAAGTTTATTCATATACCATGATAAGAAAGTAGTTTAATTAAATTAAAACATCATGACACGTGCAGAAAAGGTTGCCCATAGTGAGAGGGCTAATTATTCATTCTATATTTAGAATAAATAAATTATAGCAAATTATAGTCATTTCTCCAATTTCATTTGATTATTCCAGCTATCCCAGTTTTACGTAAGAGATTAGTAAATGTGATTTATAAGCCCAACAAATAATTAATTAGAAAATTCCACTAATTTCCCAGCTCTATCCAAAATGTGCAATGTTTGCTTGAAAATGGCAGTTACAGAATACACAAATTTATACAGAATTACATATTAATATATTTAATAACCACATTCAAACACTTAGAACTGTACTTATTAATATAACTAATAAAAAATATCATTTAGTCTACACTTTAAACAGTCTCTTACCCAGACAGTTAAATTATCTGCATTTCCAGCACGCTGATTCCACAAGGGTACCTGTTAAAAATTATAGAAATCCATGTATACATATGTTATCTAACACTTAAAAGAGGAAAATGATTAAGTATTTGATTATCATTTAATATAAAATATTTTATTATTTAATTCTTACATAATATTAATGGATTAAAGTAGTATATTCATATTCAATATATGGTAGCTCTCGATGGTTGCTTCCAGAGCTGTATTCACTTGCAACTAACTCTCCATCCGTGTTGCTTGGGAAAGTAATGGAAAAATTTTTCTGTAAAATCACTTTTTTTTATCAATTAATCAAAGAATACCTGATAAACCTGCTAGCTGTAAGCCTATTTTGCTACATTTCCAGATTTTTGAGACTATTTTCAAATTTGCTTCAAGTTTGTAAACAAGCCTTGTTTTTCCATCATTTGTTTCTTATATCATTTTTAATGAATTAGCAATAAAATAAACAATAGAAGTTTATCTGAGCATAAAGTTCTCAAATTGTTATATGTAAAATTTTTCAGTTCACCCCATTAATGAAAATTTCAGAAAAAATACTGTGGATTAGCTAAGAAATACTTTTACCCTGTCCAAGGCCAAATTAAGAACTTATGCATTTTTTAGATTGGCCCTTATACTGAACTTAATAATTAAGTTTGTTTGTTTTTTGTTTGTTTGTTTTGAATTTCGTGCAAAGCTACACGAGGGCTATCTGCGCTAGCCGTCCCTAATTT